GTGTGTGGGACTTCTTGTCCCTCTTAAGCTCTCTTTCCAGCCTCAGCCCACTAGTTATGTGACATCAAGCTCTGAATATGTCTGAAAAACAGGAAAAAGAAGTTTGCTAACAACTGTTTCAGAAGTCTTCTAGCTTGCTTACTTGGTTTCTTCTTCTTTGGCTCAGTGATTAAGCTTGCTGTATAAGGGAGGTAACTGAGAAGACTTTTGAGTTATACTCAGTCATTTTGATTACCATATTTGGTAACTTTTTTCCACTCTCATAAACATATGGTGAAGCAAAGCATAATGTTCCAATGATTGTGATCTCAAATCTAAAGCACTATTTGTTTATTCCTGAAACCTGAGACAAACATCTGGTGGTTAATGCTTTGAGAAAAACTACCTTGGTGTATTATCTCTATCTATGATTCAAGATCATGAGCAAAAGCTTGTAGAGGAGATCAAGCCACAAAATTTAAGTTGGCTCATTCTGTTTAAAAAAAAAAAAAAACACACTAGGTTTCTGTGTTTCCACTAATGTAGGGAATAAATACTGTGTGGTAATTTTAAGGGTCTTTTCCTCTCAGCCTCCTCTTGCAAACAGACATAAACTATATCCAGCAATAAACCTTCCCGCTGGGGGGAGGGAAAAGATTTGAATGAATTCTTGTCTCTATCCCATATATGCTCAGGATTACTTCAGTCTATGTAAACTGTAAAGTTCATTTTGTCATACATTTTTGTTCATTTGAATTATATTTCCTGTATTAAGAACTGTCCTTTTTGTAGATTTTATTTTAAGATTTATTCAAGCTCATAACTCATATTTCAAAACAATACTTGGAACAAAATTTTAAATTAAAATATACTGTCAATTTTATCTTGAAAAAAATTTTTGGTTTTTCGATAGGGGTAGCATATTAGTATGCCAAGGTTGCCATAACAAAACACCACTGTCTGAACGGCTTCAAGTACAAAAACTTATTTTTAACAGTTCTGGAGGCTGAAAGTACAAGATCAAGCTGTTGGCATGTTTGTTTCTCCCAGATCCTCTCTTTGGCTTACAGATGGCCATCTTCTTCCTGAGTATGTCCTCACATGGCCTCTGCTCTGTGCCTGCATGCATGCAATGTCTCTTCTTCTTTTAAGTTTCTTTACTTCTTCCACGAAAAGAGAGACAGAGACAGAGACCAAAAAGACAGGTAACCCCATGGGGTTCTCACGCAGTGACCCTCCCCCTCCTGCAGCCAGTGCATATCACACACACATGCTTGTACAGCAAACACGTACAGGCAGCCTTAGGACGTGAACTCAGGACCTCCCATGTGTGCCTAGTATTTCAGAGCATTGCATTACCACTGCGCTGCCAGCTGGCCTGATGTCCTTTCTTACAAGGATCCCATCATACTGGGTTAGGGACATAGCTGATGACTTTACTTAACCTTAGTTACCTCTTTAAAGCTCCTGTCTCCAAATATAGTCACATCGCTGGGGATTAGGGCTTCAGTATACTTGAAAAACAGGAAAAAAGAAGTTTGTTAACAACTGTTCCAGGAGTCTTCTAGTGTGCTTACTTGGTTTCTTCTTTGTTGGCTCAGTGATCAAGCTTGCTGCATAAGGAAAGTAAATGAGAAGGCTTATGAATTTGCGGGGAACACACTTAGCTCATAGTAGGTAGCAACACCAGTGATGAAACATTCTGTAATATCTTCTCTTTGAGGAAAAATGTCCAAAATCGCAGAAACAAAAGTGATAAAGTTATCATTTATATGCAATGTAAAGTTATTCAAAAGTATACATTTATATGTGAATCATTTATTTGAGATGTCATTTATTAGTGAATGAGCGGATGAACATAAAATATCCACTCTGTTTTTTGGCCTGTCTTAATTTGAACTCACAAGAGAAACAGCCAGGCAAACCAGCACTTCACATTTTCATGTATTTTTGCCAGAATAAAGAGCCACAGTCAAAAATGCCAGATGAGACTGCTGCTCTTACATCTGTTGTGAGGTCAAATCTACAGATTTGTCTTTGTTCTCTGGAAGTGTGGTTTCCACATTCGAAACAAGCTTGAGTTTTACCAAGTGGCTTCAATACGCAGAGCCACAAGGCTGAAGCACTTTAGGACAAACATGCAATAAAACAGAGCAAGCTTAGTCCTGATGGACAAATACAAGGAATGTCCTAGCCCCCTGGTGAAGAACCAGACAGTTTTTTCAGAACACTATCCATGTTCAGTTGGATCATTTGCAGTGTTTTACTTTCTGAATTTTTGGAATACCTTAGATTGGGTTGCCTGGTTTAGCAAATAAAAATACAGGATACCCATTTAAATCTGAATAGCAGATAAGCAGTTGTTTTTTGTTTGTTTTACTGGGATCATTTTTTTGTATGTTTGGTAGGGCTTTAATTTGGCATAAACATCTTTCTTTGAATATTTCAGGTACATTAAAAATTCCTTCGTGGAACATGGGGCTAGCAGGTGGTGCTGAGGATAAGGCAGCTGGATCCCTCGGTCAGCCATGCTGACTGCGTGGCCACAGGGTGTGTGTGCGTCCGTGCTCAAAGTCCAGAGATGGTGGAGAAGGGCTTCCAGTTTGGCCACCCTCTCTGGGAGACGATTTCTCATTTCCCCTCTCTCTATCTCTTTCTCTGTGTTTCTGTCTCCATGAGCACATGCACTATAGCAAAAAAAAAAAAAAATCCTTCATGGAACATATTGATACTAAAAAAATGGCTTGTTATTTATCTGAAATTCAGATTTAGTATGTTATTTAGTAATTCCACTTGGGGTTTAAGAATGACATCTCAGGACCAGCAGAGGGTGTAATGATTACATCACTGAACTGCCACATAGTTGACAGCAGTTCAAGTCCCAGGCCGGCAGCTTAAAACTCACGCTGGGGCATGTATGCGTGCATGCCCAAAATCCCCCGAGGAGAACAGAGAAGGGATTGCAGCATGGTTATCCCCCCCAGAAGTGATTTCTCACGTTCTATTTATCTGTTTCTCCAGCAAGCACTCACATCCTACAGCAAAAATCTCTCAAAAAAAAAAAAAAAAAAAAAAGACAGACAGAGAGAATGACTTCACACTCCTTACAACTCCCTACCCTCTCCCAGGCCCCCTTAAGCTACCACCATCAATTTTGTAAATTTAATTTCCTGGTTTTAACTTAATGGAAACTCTCTCTTCTGCCCCAATGCATAAAGCCCTTGGTTTGGGTTTCCTTTCATTAAGCTGATATGAAATAGGATTAGATAATGAGTTAAAATGTTGCAGTTAGTGTTATCCCACTTTCACCCTCATACTGAAGTATTTCCATTTCTATATCAACACCCTATAATGCTGGCACGGCAGCATTAGTGAGCACTGGGGACCTAATAACATGGTGAAGAATCTCTAAACCTCTAAAACTCTAAACCCTGAGCTCGGTTTGCTCACCTGCAAAATCAGAGATTAGATTCAAGGTGTTTTCCCTGCGGTTCCTTGTAACTGTCCAGCTAGGAGTCTTAGAGATCAGGGTTACATCAACGCTCTAATTTGCCTTGTGAAACCTAAATTTTTCCCATTTAGAAAGCATCTCGTTTTTCTCTAAGCAAGTAGTGTTTTGATTACTAAATAAGTAATGTTTAGGTTACTCGATTAATAGCTTCACCTTTAAAGTTGTGTGTTTAACCTAAATTACTCTAAAACCAAAAAGAGTATCCTTTCTTTCCATGCCTACTTACCTTAACACCAGACTTTGCACACAGTGGGTGATCAGATAATGCTATTATGAAAATACTAATAATGTTCAAACAATTCCATTATAGTAGGCCCTTGGTTTTCAAAAATAAAAATTTAAGGAACCACAGCCATCTCCGCGGTTAGACAGCCTTCTGAGCGCAGCGCCTTGTTCTCTTCCGCCATCTAGTGGCGTTTGGGATACTCTCATCCCCTCAACTTAAGGTTGAGAACTGGATAGATTTTAGATTGTAAATCAAATGGATGAATTGTTTTATTCTTGTCATTACAGTAAAAGAGAATTTATAGAGTGTTTCAACAGATTAAATGTAATAAATGTTAATAAAAGTTAAGTATAACACAATGGCAGACTTCAGTACTTGAACAGTATAGATTAAATTCATGCAATTTAACCTCTTTGATATGCTCAAATGTTAACTTCGACACTGAAGAATGAAAATATAAACTATCCTAAAGTGTTAAAAAGAAAGATTATCTTTCTAAGGTGCTTTTGTGTGATGTTACAGAATATTTTTATTTTTAAATAATGTGATCATACCAGATGAAAAGAAAACAGAATTCTGAAAAGCTGGTATAGAATGTCTCAAGTTCTGTATTTAACCATTTGTTTTCAATTAAATTAGAGCTTATTCTCATTATTATTTATAAATGGAATACAATGTTTAATGAATGTTGGATGATAGTTGGTTTTAATGCCCCATAATCTGAAACTTTCTTCAAATGACTTAATACTAGTTTGTGTGAATTTAAAGTAAAAAATAAATTAATGAGTGAAATAAAGTATTTTTGAAGTGTGACTTATGTCCCGTTCTCAAAGTTGTTTTCACAGAGTAGCTATTTTAAAAAAAAAAAAAAAAAAAGCATTTCTGGCACTGTATCATTACTCTGCCTCTCTTTTGATTTTAATTTAAAATGTCAATACTACTATGAAGTATCTAGAGCTTTATAACAAATACATTTAATTAGAATATAACCTTTTTTAGAGGTTTTTGCTGTAGGGCATGTATGCATGCTAGAGACAGAGACAATGAGCAGGAAAGTGAGAAATCACCCCCTCGGATGGATGGCCATGCTGCAATCCCTTCTCTTCCATTTCTTCCTGGGATCTTGTACACTTGCACAAATGCACCTTGAGTGTTTCAAGCCACCAGGTCCAGGACCCAAACCACGGTCAGCCATGTGAGAGTCCACTATGCATCTGCTGGCCCCTCACTTTGTTTTTTAATACACTTGTCAGTGTGCTGAGAAATCTCCAATTTCTTTTCCAGGGTGGGAAAATCCCCATAAGATGGACAGCTCCAGAAGCTATCGCCTACAGAAAATTCTCCTCAGCCAGTGATGCATGGAGTTATGGTATTGTCATGTGGGAGGTCATGTCCTATGGAGAGAGACCTTATTGGGAAATGTCTAACCAAGATGTAAGTGCTACCCATAAACTGCCATTTTGTGAATGCAAACACAGCAGCTTTGTGGGGTAAAAATGTCTTGCCCTCCTCAAAGTAGCCTTTTATCTCCCTAAGGTTGTTCAGGGTTGTGGCTGTTAGAGATGCAGAGTAACCTTTAGTTCTGAGCTTTATTGGGTAGCCTAGGGGTCAGTAGATGGGCTTTACCTCATGAGTATTTGGTCCACATCATGTATCTAAGACTTCCTTACTTGATTTAATGCAGCATGACTGTACTTATGCAACAACCTTGATCTACAAGTAAAACAAAGAGCAATGTTTCCCTTTCATTTCTCCCTTAAAGCAATTCAATGCACAATGTAAAGAGCAAATTAATTAGACTCAGTATATCACTTGTAAGAAAAAGAGCGACTGCTTTCAGGGAATACATTGTCAGTATATATCATGTAGTATGGTTCCTTTGAAATACATGACCCTTTATGCCATCTTTGTTTCTATATTTTCTATGAAAATTACTTTGGTGGTTGATAATCTTAGAGTACTGGGTAGTTCACACATTTAACCTCAATGGCCTGACCACAGTGATAGAGACAGTGATCAGAATGTGTAGGTACTCTGACAATGAAAATAAGGTGACAGTATATTTTAATTTCTCCCTTTCTCATCTCAGAATTCAGGAATGGCCTTCACAATTCACTCATTTGCCTTTTTCAAAGCATCTGATGGTGTCTAAGAGAACAGTGATGAAAAATTACCTTTAATATGATTCTGGATGTTCAGAACAATGACTGCTTCAATAGAGAATTCCTCCCCACAAACAGAGGCCCTGTTTCATTCTTTTTCTCCACTTAATTTTTTGAGTAACCACATCTCTATACCTCACACCTTAACTACTACATCCCAACCTCAAATTCGAAGTATCTGAAGGACTTTGTCGCAGAGAAAATGCATCCTTTTCTAATGCTAGGCATAGACAAGACCAGAGTTGGGGTAATGGGCCATAGCTATTGTTTCTCTCTGCCATATGGTGTTGTCTTTGAAACTGAGCCCTACTAGTCCTATGGGTATCTACTGATTGTGGGAAATGCCAGGTCCAAAAACCTACACAGCATCAGGTTTGAGGCCATACTGGTCAGTCATTGCTCTCCAGGGCACAATATCAAAACACAAAGTCAGTGTGGCTCAGTCCTACAGAGCATTGGCCTTAAGTACAAAGTGAGCAAGAACCAGCAGCCTCTGCTCCACTCCCAACACTTAGACTACTCGGATCTAACTCCTCTGCCTAGAGTCTACTATTCTTCAGGAAATTTTGTTTGAAGGATCTTATTTCTCTTCCCTAACACTGGGCTCTATTTGGAGTAATTCTTGACCTCCTTTCCAACTCTTCATAAAACTGAATTCCAGAGAAGATATTTGTCCTTTCCCTTCCAAAAGGACCTCATATTTTGGGTTTTGTTTTTGCTTGTTTATTGTTTTGTTCTGTTTTGTTTTGCAATCAGTTATCTAAGGTAATAGAGTACCTGAATCCAGTCGTAGTTTCTGTTCTACCCTAAACCCAAGATAATGCAGGCCTATGTATCCTATTTTGACATGACTAAAATAGATAATTCAAGCAAATCTCCACATAAGTACATTCTTCACTACACAGAATTAGCTGCTGTAGAATAAGTCATGGACAGGTAGAAGAGAAGAGGGAATCCTTGGTTCTTTCATGGCAGTTTGGTTTACAGTCGGTATAGCTCCGCATGTACAGACAATGGTTTCTTACCCTCCTGGAACTTAATGCTGGACTGGTAGGGAGGCGTACTGTAAACAAATAAGTAAGAGATTTAGTATGTAGCATGATGACCACTGCTATGGAAATAAAAACAGGAGAGGAGGATAAAAGATGTTGGGGGTTTGGTTTTTAAATATATCACATATTTTACAAGATGTATTCATAAGAGTCATTTATATAGTCATGACAGTCATAATAACACATTCTTATTTAACATTCATAAACAGTCATTCGTATAATAGAATGAGACTAATCAATATGAAGAGAAGATTTACAGGTTTTCCTGCCACCTAGATTGTCTTACCAACTGCAGTAGAACATACTCTTTCAGTAACCCTGGCCATAATCCATCTATCAAGTCACTTAACTTCTAAATTGCTTCAGTTTCATGACCAATAAATACAAAGGACTAGGTTAGATGATTTTTTTTCACTGTCCTTGTTAACAGCACATGCTATAATTTTCTAATCTCTGAAGAAATAGTTCTCACACTTTTCTCAGTAAAGGAATGATTCAAGTTGCTCTTTTCTAAGTCTTAGGACTTTTCAGAATCTCTGTGGAAGTGCCAAAAACTAGACTGGATTTCCACAGAGCAGAGCAGGTATAAGTTGAAGATGCCAGACCACAAGACAGATTATTTAGACTAGCAGGAAAAGGCCCAAATGTGTAGTTTTCCACAAAGACCACCATGTAAATGGTTCTTAATTATCGCCTAGAGTAGTCCAAACTCTGTTGTCAGCCTTTCCCATCCTGGATTTTGACCAACAGTTTAACCTGCCATTCTGGCCATACATATTGATGATCTGTGTCCAAGATGGTCATTTAGAGAGTGATTTTGTCTATTAAACCTCATTTGGCCACAGACTCTGGAATTAGGAGACACCACTGCAGCCAGGAGTAGAGTCCTAACGTGAAGCTCATTCTCCTCCATTCAGGATTGCCAAGCTCACAACACAGGTCTGCACTCCTCCTCCACCAACAGCTTGATAGTTTCTCTAGGCCCAGTTAGGGTCTGCCTTGATGTACTTTCATGTTAGTTGTGTGGATTACATAAAAATACTCAAGTGCATATCTGAGAATAAAGGAAGGGGAGCAGAGGAGGGGTTGAAAAAAATATTTAAGAAGCCAAACCTTGGTGTGTGCCAACAGCATAAGACTAAAAGAAGAAAGTAAGAGTTATATCCTTTATGTATATGGTGAATATTTTTTGTTGGTACAGTAAAGAGTTGATATTATGTTTAGCCTAACATATTGGAAGTCAGTATATCTGTGACAGATTCTATAACCAGAATTTCTCTGTAGAAGCAGAAATAGTTTAATCAAAAATTTTCCAGTGCTCTTTCCAAGTACTGGCTATTCCCTATTTGTCCTGCATTTCTCAATAATTGGGCCAAGGTAGTCTCATGTTTAACTTTTTCCAACCAAGTTACATTTTAAATATGGAAAGTAATATGATAGACAACAAAAAGGCAACTATTTCTGTTTGAATATTTTATATTTTTAATAAACTGTTCGTGAGTTTAACAAAACCATGGCCACAGATCAAAAGGAATGTTACTGTGCTTGATTATGTTAATTGAGTTTAGAAAATTCTGGAGAGTTTTTATGAACTACTTTTTCTATTCTGAAGACTGTGGTATGTTTTATTACAATGAACAATTCCAGATTTATAGGATCTGTTTTAGCGAAAGACATAATGAGTTTTCCAAAGGTAAATGGTATTGTACATTAGGGAAAGGAAATAAGAAAAAACAGAGTGCACAGAACTAGTTCATAAAAGACCTAACAAACAATAACCACAGGTGCCATCTGCCTAGCCATTCAGCAATTACTTATTAAACACTAACCAAGTGTGCATGTGGGATGCAGATGGGAATTAGAAAATCTAGTCCTTATTCTCAAAGAACCTGCTATTTAAGTAAGTAGATGATGTTTTACCCCTGCCCCCAACTAGAATTTGTACTTGTCAACGGTAGACACTGTGCATAGATTTTGTTTATTTAATGCCAACAAATATATACAGACTCTATTATTCAGTGTTCTTTTGATTGTGAATAACAGAAATCCAATCTCCACTGTCTTAAACAAAAATGAGGAAAATATTTCATCATGAAACTAAGAAAATAATTTAGCATTGCTGGATCCATGGGATCATGCAGGATTTTTAGTGCTTCCCTAAATGCGTTGACCTCATTTTCTTCTACTGCTAAGGTATTTTTTGCTGTCTTCTTTACACTCCAGGGCTCAGCATTCCAGCTTAGCAACCCCAACAGAATCAGAGTCTGTCTGTGAAAATGTATATGCCAATCCCAGAAGACTCTGGCTGGCTCTGTTAGGGCTCTGGCCGGCCCTGAACCAAAGCCATGCTAGGGCACTGGTACTGTGACTGGCCCAGCTCAGTCTGTGCATGCCGAGGTGGGTGGAACACTGTTTGGCACTTTCCCCATGATCCCATTGAATGAGGGAGGCGTTCCCCAAAGCTAAGCAATTATATTTTCCTTCATGAGGTATTCATTGTTTTCAAATACAACTTCATTTATTGCAATATCAGTTGGCACTAAACCATTAACATTGTACATCACTGTATTCTAAGGAAGTAGCAAGTTACTGGAAAAACCAGTAAGGCCTTAGAGTGGGGTCTCTCAGCCGCAGAATTATTGACAGTTGGGGCTAGCTCATTCTTTACTGTATGGAGCCTGTCCTGTGCATTGTAGGATATTCAGCAGCATCCCCAGCCTCTATGCACTAGGTGCCAAGAGCACCCTCCCAGTTATGACAAGCAAAAATGTCCCTAGACATTGCCCAGTTGGAGATCAGAAAAAAAAAAAAAAAAAAACCCTCAGTTAAGAGCAAATGCTTTATAGCTAGAAAGATCTATATTCAAATTCCAGTTTCCCAATGAATTGACCATATAATCTTAGGCAAGTTGTTTAAGCTTTCTGACATACTGTCTATATTGGGGTTCAAAATATTCAACTGCAGAAATAAAAGAGTTAGAGATAATGTCTGTAAGAGCTGGTACATAAAAGGTGTTTTAATTAATCAATGGTAATAATAGCTTGCATTTATGATCTTATTATGAGCCAAGTATTTTAGATTATTAATTATCTCATTTAGTCATCAAAATAATTCTGTTAAATTAATTAGTGCATTTAATCTTCAAAATAATTTCTCCCTTTTCTGCATATGAGAACTGAGGTTTAGAAAGTTCAAGTAACCTGGGACCAGCTGAAGGCAT